CCACAAGTTGTTCTTAAGGGTTGCCTCCACTTTGTTGAAACCTCCACTCTCTTATTCTCTCGTTTGTTTTCCCTATTATTTAATCATCGATGCTCTCACGAGTCCAATAGTTCAGATAAGAGAAATTAATTTCCGTGTGATGTGCGACATCTGACTGCAAATGAGAACTAAAAAAAAGTCAACGAAACGCGCAGGAATTGAAGAGAAAGGAAAAAAAAAAAGTAAATAGATAATAATAATCATTACACTTAGATAATAAGGAAATGGTAGTGGGAGGCTGGTATTAGTGTGATAAGTGATAACGAATAAAGTATTAATTAATTAATTAATTAATTATTTAAGTAAATGTAAAGGACATGAGATCAAAGTTTGATAATATAGTTTCGTCAGCCGGATACTCACTCCACGCTCTCTTGAATAGAGAATTAAAAAAAATCAAAATCATAATTCCGACGCTTGAAAACAATTCTAAAAAATCATAAAGAAAAATCCGAAGTTCGATCGATAGAAACTAGAGAGGATAATCTCCTCTCGACAGCGATAAATGAAAACAAATTGTCGACAGTTTCATCGAATAATTTCCCTATGATAACCATTACTCATTAAACGCTTATCATCCTTATCATAATCATGAAAATTCAGTAATCAAATGGAATAAGGAAAGCAAGTTAAGCCAGTTGTAATCATTGCTCTGATACTGAAAAGAAAAATGACAATTCAAAATTATGGTTCTTTCAATTGCTAATAATTTTATTCACCTTCAAAAACAAGAAAAGAAAACGAATTGTCTCACGTATAAATTAATAACACTTATCTCTTCAATCCATTTAGTTCACTGAATTATTACCATTTCAAGGATTACACGTTTTGCGCAGAAAATTCAATTTTCCCTCAATCGCCAATGACTCAAAACAATTATTGTTTCATCAATCAGCTTCGATCATCAATATGACTTAAAAAATGAAGTACAACACGCGTTGTACAGCACAAAAAACTCACCGCCCATAACGGCAACAACATCTTTTCAGTACTTAAAACGTAGGATTGCTTTCTAAGGAGTGTTATATATTACTGAATATGCTTCTACCGATATACACAACAGAGGGATATACATGACTGGCAAATACCAAGCGGCCCGAAGACAAGGCGCATCTACCAATCAAACTTCACTTCTTTTTAGTGTCAACTATTTTGTTATCAACAAAATACTTCAATACTCGCCTTGTCCCCGGCTGCCGCTGCACTTCACCAACACTTTTCCCACTTTTCCTTTCGTACAAAAATGGTATCCTTATGAAACTAGTATACTACAATACATATACAAAAACGTTTTATTTATACTCTGAAATCGAAGTAAATAGGGTATAACTATTATACAAGGATGACAGAACTCTCACGAGTGAAGAAGAAAAATCAATACGAGTCCATATTATATCTCGAGATAATCACTAGATTTATTTCTCAACTTTATATTTCTTTTTGTTTTCAACTATTTCTCTGTTATCGAGAATTCGGAAGAGAAACCTCGATGGGAGAGTACAACGGGGAGGGCAGTGAATGGACTTGGAACACTCTATTCTCTCTCTCATCTCTCATCTCTTTCCTCATCACCATAAAATCGGAAGTATCCCGAATGAGACCCACGGAAGTTCATTAGTCGTGATTTATCATCGAACTGCTGAGTACCCGAGGACAACTGGAATCGTTACCGCTTCTCCTCACCCACACCCTCGTCGTCGTCTCAAAAGCTGCCCCACTCATTGTTGAGACCAATGTCTGAGAGCATATCAGTGACATCTGGTGTCGATGTGAATTCAAAGTGTGAACCACTGCTTGAGCTTGCCGTTTCAAATGTATCAAGACTCGACATATCAATGTCCAAGCCAGGTGGTATGTGAAAGAGATCAGTGAGTGAATCAAGATCAGCTAAGCTGCCGTCTGATCCTGTTAGAGTTGTTTGCTCCTCCATTTTAACGACCTGATTGTTGATAGAATGTAAGCTCGGTAGCATGACATTGGTTGACTGGGTTGGATTGTCCATGGGCTCCTCCTTGACAATCATAAAATTATCAAGATGGCAATTGTTATTGGACGGACACTGGAAGTTTCTCGTCAACGCATCCATCTCCGAGTAGCCACGCACCGAGGATAACAGCCTGTCACTCATCGTAAATTCGTGATAATCGAGGTCTGATGCCTCCTGTTTTATCTTGTGTCCGGTGATGATACCTGGTGATGCACCGGGTACACTGGTTGTTGTCACGATACTCGTTGTAACACAATCCGAGAAATTGTCCTCGTAAAAGCTCGCTGATTCTGGGGAGTCTGGTGTATCGCAGGATGGACTACTGGGTACTTTGGCAGTGACGATTGGTGGTACTGGTGTGTAGTCAACCGGTGATGGCCTCTTGTCAAGTGCTAATCTTATCTTGAGCCTTGATACTGAATTCGTTGTGGGATGAGCCTGAAGCCTTTTAACGGGTGACTGTGTGTTATTATTCGAGTCATTTCTCGATTTAGGAGATACTGTTGTTGTGGCTGTTGTTATCGTTGGACTTGTTGAGGCTGACGATGGTGATGATTTTTTTGTCTTTTTGACTTCTTTTATTTTTGGTGTTGTTGCTGGTTTTGTCGTCTTTTTTCTCGGACGATACTTGTAGTCGGGATACTCAATCATGTGCAATCTCCTCAGTCTCTCAGCCTCCTCAATGAATGGCCTCCTCTCAATCTCATTCAGGGTCTTCCAGCGACGTCCAAGGCGTTTGCTTATTTCAGCATTGTGCATGTCTGGCTGAACCTCGCAGATCTTTCTGCGCTCAAGCTGAGACCATACCATGAATGCATTCATCGGTCTTTTGATGTGATTTGGATTATTCTTCTTGGTCTGTAACATAAAAAATATGTAATTCTCATTATTAACGAGTCTCAATAATCAACGTTCGACTGGATTAATCGTTAGATCTATCGATAAATATTCAACTAATTGCCAATCAATCTAAGTGGTTCGTTAGCTCTCACAAACGGTGTACCAGCGCTTGTGATATTTCCGGATGAGAATGTGGGTCGAGGGATCACCTGGACGTTAATTTGACTTTCATAAAGTTCAATCAATACAGCGCACACCCACATTTCCACACCTTCTCAATTTACCCCCTTCTAAATTAATTAGCCCCCCCCTCCCGATTTTCTCTCTCATTTCTCCCACCAACAAACACCTGCTGCTGGATCAACGACCCGCAACGTAAGATTTCTAAGAAGCAAGAGGGAAAATAAAAACTATCAACGGATACCCGAATAGTGGATGAAGGAGGAGACGAGTGAGGATGGCGCCAGCGTCGGGGCGCCAGTCAGCTGATCAACTTGATCTAACCGTATGCAACTGGCGACTGTCCGTCGCGACTTCACTGACTAGTTTAGTGTGAAAAGTGCTTTTGATGTACTCATCTTCCAGTAAAGAAGACGCTTCAGTATTCTGCATTATCTTATGTCCAATCGGAATGCCATAAATTCGACAACAAGGGTGTCTCAGTTTTTTCTTTCACATTCGTCAAGAAAAACTCAACTCATTACATTATATCCCGGAAGTCATACAAATTGCAATAAAAGGTCATTGTCTTTAGGGCTTTCTTTCACGACTAATTCTCGGTATTACAGAAGGAACCGGGCAGCGTTCTCACGACAACTTTTGTCACCTCGTGGAAAACTCGTCATGCAACCGGCGGTGTAAATATAATGCCTCTTCTTCTGACCATTCTTCGGGTCGTTCATTCGTACTACCAAGCAACCCAATGGGATAAAGGATAAAATGAGAAAAGATATAAACTAACTGGCGGAAAGGTACACAACGGTGCAAACCACAGTAATGGGGAAACGCGCACCGGTTACACAAGTGGGCGAAGAGATATAAAGAGTCAAGCTTTTGTATCATCATACCGAAGACTTTCGATCCATCATTGCATTACGATGCAACTCGTTCTTCACTTCTCATCCTCCCTTCAGCTTACAGAGAACCCCCGTTTTGTCTCACCATGAATGGCACGTACGTTGGGGCCAAGGTCGCCCGCAGAATTGCTTTATTCAATTTCCGAATGATACAAAAAAAAAAGAGAATGAAGGCCCTTTATTCAATCTCCTCTTTGCCCATTTATTTTCGCCCGTTTTTTTTTGTTGTCTACAGAAGTCAGCTAAATACGAGTCACTAAATTTTCACTGCTATTGTCAGGCCCCAACTTTTTTTTCTTATACTCATAAAAGCCGAGTAAAAGTCGTTAATGATGAAAAGGTGGCGCTGAATAAGTTTATGGGATTTCCTAAATCAATTTGATATCACGTTTTATATTCCGCACCAGTTGGGCTTCGATGAAAAAAGAAGGGTTTTCTTCTTCTACATTGTCACCCCCGGATAATCCGTGTGCAACAGTTGCCTCGGTGTGCAGCCATACACAGTAGACACTTTTTACTACTTTTTTTTTTGTTGTCTATAGATGTATGTCTGGAGTCGAGTTTTTCACACCCATGAAACTTTGTCGTTGGGCTGGCACCTGCGTCAACTTTTCTCGTCCGCTACTCTTTGATACACATCAGCCCTCTGTCTATCCGTGCTCGTAAAAGGGGCATTGCTGCGTTAAACCATTTTTTCCGTTCCTCTCTCTAAACACATTTTTTCCTAGGCTCTCAAACGAGTGGTATAGCTGAACAACAAAAGTGTACACTCAGAGGTGTGAAACTGTAGGTCTTCATTCGATTCCTCGCCCCTCGTATGCACATACAATACCGGTGCTGAGTCTATTGCTGGGTCACGCTTCAATTCAATGGATAAAGCGAAAAATGGATAGAGATAAATGCCAGTACTTGTGATCATTGTGCGTAGAACTTTAGAAAAAGAGCACGATCCAGATCCCAGAGCGATGATTGCACTTGGGAAAACATTGAGGAGAAAAATAAATGATGAAAGAAGGAAACGAGAGGTATAAGTGTGCCAAGGCGAGTACATGGTGAATCTTTCATGATGGACCCACCTGGCTCGCTCAGCATAAGTCAATAATACATTTGCGTCTGCATTAGATGACAATGCGTAGTGATTTAGAAATGATCAGAATCCGACGCGCCAGCAAGGTCTCCCACATTAATAATCATTCCCTCGTCAGCGCATGGCTCAACATGCCTTTGTTTTTTCTTCTCCCCCCCCCCCCCCCCCCC